CTGCTTATTTACACAGCCATGTCATTAGATTACACCACTGAATGTGCAGCTTTAGCGAGTCAATCTTTCCATTGTGCGTCTGCTCATAAAACACAGGCTGCTGTGGCAGTGGTGGCCAATTACAGTGCAGATTAATGTTGTTGACAGAGAATTTATTCATACAAGGTAGTGGGTGCCCAAGCTTTTCCCCAGGCCCTGGGAAAAGAGATGCACTCTATGATGTTGTGCCAGGGGGAGGAACGTCATTACTCACAGCAGAGGCTCAGCCACTGGTGTGAAGGTAAAGAGAACAAGGGAAGAGGGAAAAGAAAAAAAAACCCAGTGGAGAGCAATGCAAAATACTGAAAATCAGGCCAAGCTCTGCCTTATGATGAAAGTGTTTAAAAGTTGGTGCTTATTGGTCAGTGTAATGTAAATGGAAAAACTCTGGGGGGCTAATAAAAATGTGATGGATGTTTCTATCCTTCTGTCTCCCTCCATCCATGTGAATGCTGTGTCCGCGCCTTCAGCCCCAAGGTCACCTGCGTTAGCCTTGGCCTCAGCTCCCTCCATCCCCTCCCAGCTTCGCATGCGGACCATCCCAGCAGCCCTGCTGACCACAGCTCACTGTCAGGACAGCTAGCAGGGCTGAGAGAGAGAGAGAGAGACAGAGAGAGGAGGGCAGGCCGGCAGCTATAAAAACAGGATGGATGAAGGCAGACAGAGGGATGGAGAAAGGGCACGAGCGAACGGCAGACCATAAAGGAAGAAAGAGCAGCAACCAAACCGAAGAGTATCATAGTTCAGAGTGTAATCCATACCAAACTGTGTGCTGACATCATCAAGCAAGGCCAGGGATTTCTGAGAAAATATGCCCGCTTGTCATACAAGGCCGAGGATGCTTCTCGTGGCTAAAACAAACAGCTGTGATATCAGAGGGCTGAAATTGAACTGTAAAACAATGTGCCACGCCTCGCAACCAGTGGCTATCTAATACTAGTACATCACCCATCATGACACCTCATCAGGGTGAAATACAACCACTGTGTTTATATGGTAAATGCACCTGGAAACTGTAAAGTCCTTATAATTTACTGAGGCAAGTCTATTAAAAAGAGAAAGAGAAAAAAAAAAAACAGAATTTATATTTGCAACATGATGTAATTTAATTCTTTGTGTGGCGGTGTACGGTCTGTTCATTTTTTTTACAGCTGTAATTCGGATGCAGAAAGAGGACAGCTTCCCCACATCCCTGCGTCTGGTCATGCTCCCTTATAGCTTGTCACAGACCTCAATTGCAAATAGTAAATGAAGCCATAAATTTGATGGAAGCCCATAAACAGGGCTTTTAAATTGGCATGCTGTTTTTCCCCTCTGCTGAATAATGATAGGAAGCACTTCAGCACTGGTAAGACTCAGGAAGATTCCTTTTTGGTATTTATTTCCCAATTCCCTCTCATATCATCAGTCTGCATCGCATCACTTTCTTAGCACGTTCAATAATTTCAGAAAATGCCACGGCCCAGATGCAATCTTATACGGGAGCTTAAAAGGTGCATGTTTGTGTGTGCGTGTGCGTGTGCGTGTGCGTGTGTGTGTGTGTGTGTCAGCATGTCTGAGCCTCGGCAAAGACCTTGTGAAACAAAATGGCTGCAATGAATAAAGAGTGAGTGGGATTTATGAATAAATAGAGGCAGATCACTTGTAGTCTAGAGTGATGGACAGATAGATGAACCCTCGCCAGCTGAGATAGGGAGCTGATTTGCACTCTGTATCCCTTCAATCCCTCAGTCTGTGGGGAAAGTGCCATCTCAGCGTGTTGCTAGGAAGAGGAGGCAGGCGGGAGGGGGGAGTGTGCACGCCCACTCACCCGGAGCACCCTCCTGGCTGGCCTGTCCCTTACTGTCTGTCACAAGTCCCAGGCAGAGGGCTCCAGCAGCCAGCAGCTCCGCTAAATATCCTGCACATCTAACATATTTCAACTTTTATTCTCATATTCTAATTTGCATCAGTGTGATTTCATAATTTGCTGCATCAACTTGGCGTCATCCAGTTTTGGTCAGTGCTCTTTATAGCCTTCACAGATATGAACCAAGTTATCACAGTGTCACCTCTATGTCCTCAGTCTGCCCTTTTTGCTTTTGCAGTTGCAGGCTGCTGTAAAATATCCTAAACATTGTCCTATTTATTTTTGATCAGTGGTATTATCCATAATTGCCTTTGGTTTTAGTAACCAGACTCTTTGTATTCAATCAATCAAAGTGGCATGAAGTAGGAAGTCCTCATTCCGCACTTAGTTATACTGTGATTCCTGTTTATCACACTATTTTGGAGGAGAGCCACCGTCACGTTTGAAACATGTCTGAAACAAGTCTGAAACACTGTCACGTTTACAAAGTAAAAGCACATTCCTCTCTATGTTGGGTGAATCTATTCTTTAACACTTTTCTTAATGTTACATTTTCCCATTGATGTTGTACATAATCCTCCTTTCTTTCAACTGTCTAGTCAGAGTTCATCTCGTTGGTTGTGGCTGGTCATGTGAGGTGGATGCCAGCCATTCAGGGTTGTGAAAAAATAAAACAAACTCGTCAATATTACAGAGCCGCATGATTACAATCCATTGAAACAGGGAATAAAAACATGAAAATTCCTGATGAAAGGTTCCCTGTTAAGTCACCAATAGCGTAATATGCATATATGTATCCTGTGCACACAAACGGCAACAGTAAGTATTGAGTAGCCTACTGTATTCTTTAGTGTGTTATACACAAGAATACTCATCACAAATAGAATGCAGCAAACATGACCTGAATAGAGGACACTGAGCCCCACTGATATAACTGACAAGTTACAGTCAAGAAAAGTTAATGGGAAACAGACAGAAACACATAAATAAGTGTGCCATTACGGAAGAGAAATGGCTTGAGGAGGAAGAGACAATTAAATATCAGGGAGAAAAATACTGTGCATACTGTACCATGATTAGGCTAATGGGTTGGCAAAGACACTCAGATCTCAAGCCTCATTTGCCTGCTCCAAATATGATTAAATGATCAAATGTTTAATTATTTTGCCACTTGTTACTCAAAAGTCCAACTACACAGCAACCATATCAGTGCAATTTCACCATCACCATCTACTGTCTGAATCTCTGAGTCACCTTTGTAGTTACTTGTAGCGTGTCATTTGAAATCCTGCCAGAGTTACAGCCCCTGCAGAGTTAAGTAAAGTACTAACGAATAGCCAAGTGCTAGAGGAGGGCAGTTTCATCCTTGAGTCACAAGGAAGGCTAAATAAACTAATTAAAAAATATGGCTGGCAGCGTGCTGTGTTCAAGGGGAATGGGTTTGAGCTTAATGAGCGGCTTAACATCAGGAAACATAGCTGGGGGCACAAACATACTGAAGCCCTGTGACAAAGCTTGTGTGACTGCTGCATCACCTTTGCTATTTAAGTCCATGTCCGTTTGTGTGTGTGTGTGTGTGAGTCAAAGAGTGTGTATCCATCCTGTTGGTGAATCCCTCCACAGTTGGGGTGGACGGTTGGCTGCTCTAATCACAATGCGAAGGAGTCTCTAGGTGACTGGTGCATCAATCTGACATGGCTCCTCAGGCAGCTGAGAGGAGATAAGGCCCCGCCAACTAGTGCCATGCCATGTGATTCATTATGCCAGTGGGCAAAAGAAAGAACTTCACTGCATGGTAAAACTGACACCTGAAGAGGAGGTTAAAAGAGGATGAAGGCGAAGCGGGTGGGGAAAAAAAAAATAAAAAGGTAAAGAAAAGTACCTGAAATTAGAGGAACCCTGTAGTTACCATTACTCTTTGGTGGCTATTGTAACAAAAAGATCATGATTGTGATTGCCTATGGTGCTGCACAATATGCCTTGGTGTTACTATAACTGCATATACAAAATTGTATTACAGCTCCTTAAATGAAAGTTAGCAGAGTGGATTCAAACACCCTTTTTAGCAGGGAGGCAGAAAGGCAGAGTTCCCAGTCACATGCATCTGGCATATGAGTCACGTCTGTGAATGCTAACCAGTGTTACCTGGATTTTATTCAGTCTGCAAACAGCTGGGACGTTGGCCAGACGAGACGGATCAACATCTGTTCATCTACAAGTCACAACGTAACAAAGAGTTAGAGTGATTTATTGTGGTTTTCTAGGGGAGCGAAGTACCACATGCAGTAAATGTATCCATTCTTAGTGTTGTTGGGTCTGATTTTCTTTGCCGTTGTGCCTTAATGAAACGTATTTGTGCGCAGTATATTTTTCTTATAGCAGCTTTTCTCCAGTAAAGAGTGCAAGTGAGAACATTTTCATCTTCATCAGCACTGTCTGGAAGATTTTGGACCACAAGCAAATTCCCTCCTAGGGCTGTGTATCTCTCCCTCTCTGACAGATTCAATATGCACCTCAATATAGAGGCAATAATTCAGAGCACCTATAATATATTTGAGGCAGTCAGTTTGATATGATTCAATTCAGCCCTGTCTCAGTGCAATACACAACAACATAATGCAATGCAATCTGTTTCAGTTTACTTCAGATATGGTTTTGTCACTATTTGAAGGATCTTTCACAATAAATCAATCTAAAGCTCCGACAGAACACAGACTCTTCGCTGTATGTGTGTCATTTGAGTCTTTTGTGAGACAGAAGCCTGTGATTGGCTGTGATTCCCTCCAAACTGTTGTCAGATACAGCACTGAGCCGCTGAAAGAGAATCTTAGACATGAGTCCTGCTGCATTGATTTCAAGCATTTAGTTATTACACCTTATCTCTCACATCAAGCATCAGAACCTGGCGAATATCACACGAATATCCAAGCACAAGAAGCACCAAACTCAGCCAGCATTATAAGTAACAATCAGAAAATTATTTCTTTCTGTTTCATAACCTTACTCCCTAAAAAAGAAAAAAAAAAAAAGAAAAAATCCCAAAGACCAAATGAAAGTTATCAAACGGCTCTGTCTGACATCCTCTTGGGTTGAACGTTGTTTTATATTGAACTCATTTGATGAAGCGTGGCTTTTCCCTCTGTCGAACTGCTACTTCAAACCGTTTGGCCTCTGCTGTCTCACCTGCAGACTGCGGCGCCTGAAGAAGCTGCTGTCGCTGTTTGCTCAGTGTGATGCTCCACTCTGTTTCCAGAGAGGAGCAAAGAGACTCCAGAGCGAACAGTTCATAATCACATCGCATGCTGCTGCTGTCGGCTGTCGATCAAGATGACAGAGCGGCAGTACAGATGTGCTGCTATAAAAATGTACTGTGGCAAAAATGAAACGGTAAACCTACTCAAAAGAGTGAAGTAATTATGTACAGTAATTGTTATAACCAACTTTATCTATTTCCTCATTCACATTATGGTATTCAATCAAATTATGTAATCTAAAAAAAGAAAAAAAAAACACAGAGAGGCGGAGGACTTTTGTTCCACCTCACATCTGTCTCCAGAGAATTAAGAAATTGTCTCATCTCCTTTCCATGCACACCTGCTGCTGCCCTGCAGGGCTAATGTCACCTTCATCTGGTACATAATGGTGTGTTTTTCAGCAGCTGTCCTGTCACACTGACAAGCATCTTGTGACACACATGCAGGCATGCACACTCTCTTCCTTTGTCCCCTTTTTTTGCTCTCACAACCCCTCCGGCTCTGTCCTCTCCTGCTCTCACCCGTACTCTGCACCTGCAGCGTTTTTTTTAGTTATAAACCAATAACAAAATCTAGAAATTCTTATCATCCAATTATCCATCCGAAGGGTTTATCCAATAAAATATATGTTATTAGAATATTACATTATTATTTGTTTATTTGTATTTTATTGCACTGTCAACATGGGATTCTTTTCTCATTTTTCCCATTGTGATGATTATCTGTCACTTTGTCAATAATCTGCCCTGCAATAATGTCCCCACTCAAGGCCAAAGCAAGGTGAAAGCTGAAACCATATCCCTTCAGCAACACTGATATCATAATGGGACTTGGCTATATTTTTATTTTTTAGTTCATTCAATTGACATTCAATTGACAGTGGTCTATACTGTGGTGTTAGATATGTTATTTCAATTAGCATGAGTTAGACCAATATGCATTTAACCCGAGCTGTCTCTGGAAACTGTCAAGCAAGCTTGGTCTGGACAAACCCTAAACTCCTTTCCTATAACTCACTCAGTTTGTTTTTACAAAAAGTATAAAGCTAGACAGCGCTTGACGTGATTGACGACACTTCACATCTCAGTAAACCCCTCGCAGCTGGAAAGCAGTGTAAATTTAAACAAAAACCACCAGCAAATCACTGTCGGAAACCTTTCAATCTGAGCCGCAGATCTGACAGATTATGTGAACCATTTTCATGGAGTGAATGAAGAGGTCTGATCAGGACTAAATTGTGCTTTTCTCAGTAATTTCACTGGCAGTAAATCTCATCGCTCGCCTCTCACTTTGCCTGTCCTGACTGAAATGGAGAGGAGGATCACCCTGAGATTAGGGCGGACAGGTTAGCACTGCAGGTGATTACATGATAAAGCACGTTAATAAAGCTAAAATAATTGCAGCTTTTTTTTTTCTCTTTCCTGATGCCATCACATTAAATTGATGGCCACAGGTATGTTATCATAATGATGTTGTGTGAAATGCAGAATCTACGGTGGCCCTGCGAGCTCAACTGCACTGCAACTTAAGAAAACACATGTAGATAGACAAAACATAACCAAATTCAGAAAACAGCTTCATCAGTTTGACCACATGTGCTGCAAATACAACACAACCTAAGTGTGGCGCCCATGCAAGTAGCACAGATGATGCTTTTAACTTCAAAAGTAACAAAGCATTGAACAACACGTGCGTCCCCGCTGGGTTCATCACATTTTTGTTACCCAAAGGAAACACTTCCCTTGTGGTCTGTGCTACTTGCGGCGTATTTCCTGTATTTGCTTGTGTCGCGAGTATTCGCAGCACTTGTTGTCTAATTGATGAAGATGTCGAATTTCTTTTGTGTTTGCGTGTGTTTTCTTAAGCTGCAGTGCGTTGCGCGCTCACAGCCGACGCAAGAAACAAAATCTAGAACATTCCCCAGTATAAAAACATGAAAGAATGACATGATTTTATTGGGTTGAAAATGAACGTGTGTTACAGAGCAACATTTCTTCCATCTGTTGCAACCTCAACAGACAGGTGAAACTACTGAACATGGCATCACATGCTCTGCAAATTTCAGCTACCTATTGGGAAAAGCCATTTACATGTTGAAATATACTGCACATAAACAGTGGCCCAAGGGCAAACCCTCCCAGCATCAAGTAAAGTAGAATGTTTTCCTAAATGACTGACCTGTTTTGCAGCTAATTACTTACTATACTCTGTGCTGGATTTCTATTCTAAACTTAAGTTGTTTTAAGGTCTTTGAATCTACCCTTCCTCGCCCTCTGCATCTCATGAGTCAGACAGCATGTTGTTTTCCTGTTGAGGAATTTTATTTTTTCACTTCTCTCACCGTCTCCGTATGTCTCCCTCACCTTCTGTATCATCTGCAGCCCTGTTGCTGTGCTCTCTACCGGAGTCCAGTGATGAGTACATTTCCTCCTGCTTCAAGGTGAGTTTGTAGGTCCTAAAAAGCAACAGGGGTTTTCCTGGTGCCATACACTATTTACTATTATCTACTCGCTGCCTCAGCCTGACTGCACTTACGGGATGATTCTGACAGTGGAAGCATACACAGTGGAAGACCATGAAATATTGCACACTGAGGCTACGCCAATTTAATGTCGAGCATCACGACGAGTGTGCCAAGAATTTTGTTGTGCAAAACTGCAGAAGTTTATGACTGCACACAGGTGGAGCGTGCTGAGTGCTTCACCGCGCCAGGAGACTAACATCAAGTTCTACTAGGGCTGCAGTCAATACAAGTAAGGAATATCACAATTCAGATTCACATGCAATTGCCGCAACTGTAGGCTGCAAATAACAGCGACTACTGACATCAAGTTGAACCGACATTCAAAAATTCAGCAGCATCAAATAAATGAAAAAAGACTGCTACAGTATAAAGATACATTGCTTAAATACGGGAGTATATTATAAATACATGTTGCTGACATGAGCGTCCAAAAGAGCTTATACAGTAAAACAAAGAAAAAGACTAATCGCTGTATAGCGTCAGGCTTTTAAAAACGAAGAGAAAATCGACTGACAAGTCAGTGTGAGGCAAAGTAAGTTTAGTCTCCTCTTCATTTAAATTCAGTTACACGATAAAACAAATTTATATAAATAAAGAAAACCTTCACTTTAATAACCTATTAACGACATGGGGTGATTGCATAGCTTTTAAGTAGTTAATGATTTCACTGCCGTACTTTTACTTTTTTATTTCCTCCTAATTACATCAAAGGATGTTAATTATCTATTCATTGGATTTGTTAGAATCAAATCAAGATATCAGGCTGCAGAATCATCCAACAGGGCTGATGAATCAGAGATGCGTGCACAAGACTTGTTAAGTTTCAAGATAAAAAAGCAATGTGTTTCAGAGTTGTGGCTCATATTTATGCTAATTAATTTTACAGCACAGTTTGCACACTGATAAAACATTTGATGTGCATGGTAATGGTGCATGGAAAAACATTGTTGTGTAGTTTTCACATGATCCATTTAGCTCTGGTAAATCATAAGCCAATATCAGGTCTAATGTCAGATCAAACATTCTTATGTTGGATTAGTAAATTCAGTGATAAAAATGTTGTCCTCACACAGCCTGTGTTTAATTTGAATACGTTTCAATGACCTGGGTCAAGGTTGGAATCTGACTTGCTCTATATTTTCTTGTGTTTCATTAACATAAATTTCATGATCTGTAAAACAAACGCTTTCTATCCCTGTGCAAGTACAGTAGAGCAAAATGTAAATTGTGCAGCCCAGTGTACGTGGTGCCTAAGTGAGGGTTTGATTATTTAGAGGACTCTGATTTACACTGAATTTAAACGATTCTCAGTTACATGATAAAACTCTCAATACATAATAGTGTAAATATAGTCTGAGCATTTTGCTTCTCTTTCTCTCATCCAACCAGTTAGAGGGATGTGGTGTTTGCGTGTCCCACACACTGTAATTGGCAAATTAATTTAGGTCAACCATAGACGAAGCCCTGTCTCTATGGCAACAGTAGACATATCTGTTATGCTTTAGTTAAGGCCAAAGATATCTTAATGAGGTGACCGCTTTCAGAGACGATAAAAGTCAAATAGCAGCAACATCAGTTGCTACAGTGCTTATGACACATGAACATGTGTTTTTTCTTCTCAGCACATGAACCCATGTTTAATGGAGCCATGGCGACAAGTCCTTATTGAAGTAAAAAAAAAAAAGAAATAAAGGAAAGCTCCATGTGTGAAAGTGAGGGTCAATAAAAAGCACTAAGTAAAGTCCACCATATTGGATTTCTCATACACAGGAAAGTGCCAGTAGGGAGCTTATAAAAACACAATGGCAAATGTCTACAAGGGGCACCTTGAAAAGGAAGGTGAGAAACAAACTGCCAATCATTGCCAGTCAAAGGGGCTGACATTTTGGAGACATTACGCCAAACATTATGTAGGAAAGCAGAGGTCTTTTTCTGCCTGCATATGAGCAGTGAAATTCACTGCTCACCCTATTAGATGATCAACCCCTGGCACAGAGTATTAAGTGGAAATTAATTTTCCCCAGGGCACTTATTAAAGATCTGAGCATTAATGATCCAATTCCCCATCTCATGCTCCTCAAGGACCTCGCTCATGCTTTCTGACTAGATTCTCAACTTGTAATGCAACTGCAAGGACATTTACCTGCCTGAGATACATGTGTGTGGAGGTAAATATATATATATATATATATATATACTCTATAAAAAGTACATATAGTATTGATTTTGTTACCATAATAAAACTAATGTGCATGAAAAGGAAAGCTTAAGAATCTTAGACGACAAGTGACTTTTTGCCTTGTAATGTTATCATGTAAAGTTATCTCAAATTTTAAGAAATTGCACAGATGGGATTTGGAGCAACCCAAAAGATGCAAGACATTAAAAAGAAAAAAAATCCCCAAAAAACAGCATTCGCACAGAGAGTAAAATACGCTACTTTAGATCTGATTGTGATAGTTTCAATCGTTCCCATCAACTCGTTTCGCCTGTCAAGAGAAAGGTGTACTAAAAATCTAATGGAAAACAAGTCTATA